CAGCTACATTTTTTTTCCCTCAGTCCCTTCACTACACACGTACAGCTCACTCCTAGCTCAGCTGAGCCAAAAGTGCACCTCTTGAGAGTGCATATGCAATCAAATGTGAACGAACACAATGCCCTGCGTCCTTTTGAAAATGTCTCTGGGTTGCATCAGGTACTCTAGCAGTCATACCTGTGAACAGTGCTGGTGTAAAGTAAAGTTAGGAAAACGGCTTAACCCTCACCACGTACGAAGGACGAGCTCTAACACATCTGAACAGACCTCTGTGTGGGACTTTGAGCCTCTGTGTCGTGGACATTACAAAGCTCCCTGATATTTTCCATTTCTCTTGAGAGGTGAAGGTCACACACTCTGTCTGCTAAGAGAGCAATGCAGTGTTAAAGCCCCTCTGTGGCCTCCTGCACCTGTAGATAAATGCTGTGTGACTGTAGTTTAATAATGGCTCTCGGCATTTGGCTCCTGCTCGGCCAACCCCTGCTAGCAGATATAATGCGATCAATATTGATGAAAGCACTCAGCCTCTGTTTGGTTATATCTGTGATAGGCTAATGCAAGTAAACACTCAGACAGACAGCACCACACACATACACTCAAAGATTCAGCAAAATGATTACTTTCAAACTTAGTCTCCGAAAATGTTAGCTGGCCTGAATTTGATACAACTAAGCTGTTCCACTCTTCTGTGTGCTTCATTACTTCACAGCATATCGAACTAATTAAGGAGGAATTTCTTGACTTCTTCTACTTTTTGTCTGGGTGGCAGAAGATATCTATTCCCGAGGCCATAGCCACAGATTCTGCCCATAGTGCATTGTAAATCAAGAGCTTTCAAATTAGCTGCTCGTATTGTTGTTGATGCTGTTGTGTGCTAAATCTCCAAGGCGTTTCAGCTGGGGAAGGAAGAGAGAGGAGATCTTGAGAAATAATTCAGTTTTATTTCGTTGGCTGTGGCTTGTCAGATTTAGAATATGCATCTAGCAGAGATAGATAGGAATTGTTGATGATAAATTGGCCCAAATGCAGAGCTTTGATTAGGGGGAACAGGGAAGAGGCAAAAAGCTACACATTTTAAAAGTTAGAAAAGGTCAGATTTAAATATTTATAGCCAAAACTATGTGGTAGTTATGGTCTGCACCATGTGGAAATGAATGTGGATCTACACGGCTTACAGTGGGTCCACTGAGCAATAATGTACACTTAAACTATTTGCAGAAAAATGAAGCCTCTCACTGCTATAAATCCCTACTTTTTCAAAAGTTTGATTTTATCTTAAGAACTTCAAGACTTCATCTCAAGACTTCCCAGGTTGTAAGTTAATCTCTAATACTGTAGTTTGGCTACTATAGAAGCCATTATGCCTTTGCTCAATAATGTCTCTACACAGAGCAAACAAGCTGATAAAACAGAATGAGGTACTCCCCAGGCACCCAGCAGGCGGTGTTGAGTTCAGGGCTTGTATTTATGGGCACTTAGAGAGCTCATGTTTTCCGGCCAGAAATCGTGTCAGAGGGCCTTGGCTCTCATAGGAGCACTGATGAGAGTCTGCCTTTGTAGAAAAACTGTTTCTTTAACATTACTTTTTGTCCATTTTGGACATTTCTACATGGTTGGTCTTTCAAACTATTTATCTATTTCTAGAGCTTTGTCTCTTCTCAATAGCCCCTGCTCCTTTGGTCATTTAGATGAGAGTACTCTTCTCACAGGTCTTTAAGCTTGGAAATGTAACAGGACATAAACTACAAACAAAAGACATAAATGACACATGTATAGTATAACTATGTTGGCTGTTAACCAGACCTTTTCCCTGTGTGAATGTACCAGTTTTTGTAATGTAGTCCACCATCATCTTCTACCCTGTATCTCTCTTTGAATCAATGTGATTAAAATTATTTCCCAGCAGGATAAATTGGGGGGCATGCTGTGAATGTCATTACCTCTCCAAGCTCTGACATTAGCTCTTCTTATGTAACTGCAATCCACATTGTCCTTCCTTCCCCACACAGACAAAATGTATCCTCTGTCATCAGCCTGTAAATGATGCACTTCCTGCTATTTTCATCTCAACCTGTAAATTACAATAAAAGGGAAATTAATTCAAACAGAGGCTAGGCTCTTCTGTCCATGGAATCAAGGATGAAGCCTTGATTTATTTCAACTTTGTTTGACATTTGGAGCCTGGAGCCCTTAAAGTGCGCCCAAACCATATTGGAGTTTGTCTTTTAATAAAGTTTATTGTTGGAAAAGAGAAGATGAGGCTAAAACTCAATTTGAATCTCGAGCCAAGGGAAATCCTGAGGGCGTTATTGATTTGTTGGAGAAGATTGCATACAAATTCTCCTAAAGAAGAAATTTAATAAATGTCCAAAAGGCATTTTAATTTTGAGCTTATGAAAGTGATCAACACCAGTAAACAAGGTGATGTTGATTTTTTCCATTGGTGAACCAAGATGAACATTAATAAATTACTCCTAACATTTATGGTTGTATGATGAGGGTTAAAAAGTCAAATCTGACCCCAACCCAAGAATGGCAGACTCTGCCACTACCAATTAAAACTACTTTATAGACAAGGAATTACACAATGTAAATTCACTGAATAAGTATTGCAGAAAAAAACAGTCCATAAATACTATAAAATGGGATTTGATTTCATAAAAATTGTTACCTTTAAACCCTAAGAATGGCCCATGTTTCTTGTCCCACTGCAGCAAGTCTGGGCATGCTATGTCCATTCTGATGTGAATATGAGTTTTATCTATGTAGTTACCTTGGGGAATCTGTGCCTCAAACTCATTAAGACATTTGGGGTTGCATTAAGATAAGCCTTGCAGAGTGACAGGTAGACTGCTGCAGTATTTAATGACCTGAGAGCTCTGCGTCTGTGTTCATAAGAGAGGAGGTATGGGGAGTGTCTGTGTGTTGAGGTGGGGGTCTGCCTTGATTGACTCTATCTGTCCATTCTCTATCTCTCTGCTTTTAATCCCTGGGGACTAAAATAACGCTTCTTTTCATTGAACAAGTGAGCTGAGGAGAGGACAAGCTGGAAAAATGGAGTAATTCAAGAAGCATATTGTGTATCATTAGCACAGTGTAATCTATTGTGCACCTCATACCGTAAATGTAATGCGGCTGAAGTGAATCATGCACTCGGGCTCAGCAAGGTGTAAAATGAGCTAGTACTGATTAGGCTGCTATCTTGTAAAAACATCATGACACATAGTTATCAGCGGACCAACAAATAGACTTTCCACAGCATGTAATGCGCCGCATGTCTTTTAGAGAGATTAAAGACGTATAATTGATTTTCCTGTAGCTTGGAAAGAGGGAAAGTAAGAACATCTGTTGTAAAGGAATCCATTTTTATCTAGGTACGATTTGCAGAAGATGCATGTGCCTTTTAGCCAACACTTACACAGTTAGATTCACACTGTGGAGCTACACAGGATCCAGGACATCCTCATGCTTCTGCCGCTGGCCAGCGAGCAGCTCTGCTTGAGCAGATGTGTGATAAATGCCTTGCTGAAGGGCATGTAGTTCTTTGGTAGACCATAACTCAATCACTATTTCCACTTAGACTGAAGCAGTTCATGTGGAGATTGAGCTGAACCAAGAATCCTTCCACAAACTTTATGAAACTGTCTCACCTGCTATTATTTATTTATTTTTTCATAAGATTTCTATGATTGTAAGTCAAAACATGTTTAATAATTTAGAATATATTTATATAAGTTTGGTTTAAGCAGTACCTCTATGTATTTGTGAATGGAATAGATTTAACTGTCAAGCTGCTAGCAAGCTGGGTAGCAAATCCTCCATTTATAGAATATACTCATTAACATTAGTGGTTCCCTGATATACACCAACAACCCCTTCAGTTAAGCAGAAGTATCACTTCATTAACACCACCTATCCTGTTCCAAATATGTTCTTTTGAGTGGGTTTTTAACTGTGAACACTGTTAACCATATAAAAGTGGATATTGCTACAATATTTTTCAAACAATTTAATTGTCAATATTTATGTTGATTTGGTCAAGTTTGCATTCATACTACAACCACTTGATGTAGCAGAAGTAACAACAACAAGAAGAAGTTTTAACCATTGGTCCATTAGCGACCTATGTAAATTGTTCCATTACTCTTACTAAATGCAATCACTGATCAAGAAAGTTAAAATACATTTAAAAATTATTCATTATATATTGTCAAAATGAAAGGATGATTCATTGGACCCAGAGCTACATAGCACACAGGCCCTGGAACATGTTTGCAGAAATGTACTATTTTCGGGTCATAAGTAAGTTGTTTTCAGGGGTCCCAGAATTTCTAGCTGCACCCCTGCCTGTGCTGCCAGCTGTACTTCTGATTGGATAGTCGATTGGAAGACTAGTAATGCCTTCCTCATTCCCCTATTTTAATTCCAAATAATCCCAGTGACAGAATTTCTTTAATAATGTTTGCATTTTATTGCTAGAAGACAATGTCCTAGCAACACTGTATTTAAAAAAAAAATCAATTTCTGCTGTGTTTAGTGTTTTAAATATTTAGAG